TTTGGTTCTTCTCTGGTCACCAGCAGGTCATGGATCTTCTCATTGTACACTTCAAAGTAGCTCATCTCTACATGACATTTGACCTGAGATTCAAAGGGGACCCAAAACAGATCATTTAATTATTTTTCAGATAAAAATGAAATTGGAATAGAAATGTAAAAAAACAAAGAGAGAGCTTACCTCTTCACTTTTTATTGAGGCCAGTTTAGAAAAAAGCTCGTGGCAGAATTTTGGGATCACCCCTACCTCCTCCTCAAAACCCATCATCCTGCAAAACAATCAGTCTTAACACGTCAAAGTGACAGATTACAGTACAAAAGTAAAAAACAAAAACACATGACCACATAAGTGAGAACACTGATGAAAAGTGAGTCCACTCACGTGTATGATTTACCAGAACCTGTCTGGCCATAGGCAAACAAGCAGGTGTTAAATCCTTCAAAGGCCCTCAGTAGCAGAGGTTTGGCCAGCGTCTCATACACGGTCTGCTGGCAGGCAAGCAGCAAGATTATGTAAACGTGCAGATACGATGCCACTTTGGAGAGGAATATTCAGATTTGGTCAGCGAACTGCTCGATACTGTCCCTCACTGAAGTTGGCTGGTCACATTCACTTTGAGCGTCTCCCGCTGACAGGCATCGTGAATGAAATCCACAGCAAGAGCTCCCCTTAGTGCTAAAAACGTCAAACAGCAGCGCTATCATCTTATGAAAAATAATACTTGCATGACAGTTAGCCGCCATGTGCAACTGACAGTGCATAAATATGGCCTGGAGGCAAGGTTAGGGCCAGGCTTTAATTTCAACTGGATAGCGCAAGAGCTGGTGATGGATAAACGGGCCGACAGACGGGAGGGTGAGTGGTAAAGGAGGAGAGCGAAAGCGATCGGGAGCGAGCGCCTAACAGGAACACGTTCGCATATAAAGAAAAACACAGGGATGAACAAAAGAGAGAGAGAGGAAAAAGGCTGATGAAGGAGGAGCTGAAGGACAGACATGAAAATATGTATATGTGTGTGTGTGAGAGAGTTCTTCCAGTCCAAAAATACTGACTACACCTGTGAAGCTACTCCGTGGTTTTGGTTGTAAAAAAGGAAATACAGGTGTGGCTATGTGTGTTGAAAGGCAGATGTTCAGGTTTACAAAGAACTACAGAGGAAAAAAAGTTAAAAGAATCTCTCATATAAAAATGATTTTCCCTCCCTTGCTTTTTTTTAGTTTATAAGGGCAAAACTCTACTATGCTTAAAGGTTCTTTAAAAATGCACAAGTGTTAAGAAAATACACCTAACAATTTCAATTTGAGGTTTTAGTTTACAATGTTACAGTAAATAAAAATTACAGACTGTCAATAATCTAATACAGGATTACAATAATAAATGACTGATAATATCATCCAACTGGCATATTTCTAGATTTTAAAAAAAGAAAAAAGAAGAAGAGAAAGTCTCATATACCAGCTCTCTCTCCAAGGCTCGGATCTTTTCTTCATAGAGCACCT